AGAATTCCTACTTTGCTGCTGTTCTTTGCTGCTGTTGGTCACCTTGATACTACATGTAGAGGCTCAAAATGGAGCGAAATGTAGCGAATCTTTCAAATAAACCATTTTATGGACTTAAAATGTTCATGAAAATCTTATTTTCCCGCATTTAAAATTGCGTTCATTCATGCTGAAGTCGGGCACTCACTGCGTCGTACGACGGTCATACGACCGTCACATGATCAATCCAACTCCGCTACCTGTGAACGGCAGTCTGAACGGATCGCCATTAAAAACGATCCGTTGCGCAAAAAGTTGTATGTGTTGTGCCTATAAGAAGGCTCCTCCCTGATTTTTGAAAACAATTTACTATTTAAAGCCTGGTCTTATATATAATATACGATACCACAATCACTATAATATACTGTACCGTAGTTCCGCTATAGAAAGAATGGTTTAATACCAGTGTATCTCTTACTAATAAAATCCTTTAATATTTAAATGAATATTATCTTTTAACAAAAATTTAAATTCATTGATTAAATTTAATGTTTGATTAAGTGTAAGATGAATTATTTCATTGATATAGGAAACAATATTCTTTAGAAGTTGAGCAAAGTGAACACAGTCTGATAATCATCTGACTGTTCATTCCTATACTTTCTTTTTGTTACAAAAATTCTTATCCAGCGCCAGTGTTGACACACTGTGATTTGATTAGGCGCCCTCTATGGGCGGTCTCTCGATACTCCATCTTGGATTGATCGGACCGTTGTTTTGTTGGCTGTAATAAAGCTTTGTTGTACACTACTGCTAGTGTGTCCGATTGTAGTCTTTGTACTGCGGTTGTTTCTTTTCCCCACTGGCGTGGTGGCAGCTTCAAGAAACGTTCCCATCCACGGTACTGGTGAGTTCCTATGCCCATTGTTGAGCTAGGCCTTTTCGTCAATCACTGTACATTGACTATCGCTCCACCGTGCGTCAATCGGTTCTTGATTCCCTTTCAAGTGAAAGCACTAGCTGCCTAGGCCTGTTATTGTGTGGCAACTATGGCTGCTATGCGAGCACCAAAGCAATGGAGTCTTACAAAGACGGAGACTATTAACACATTTGAAAATTGGAAACAGAATTTAGTTTATAAACACAGCTTTCAAAGGATAGAAGCAGAAGCATGTGTTCCAGTATTTAAATCTTTTGCTAATGTCCATTTATCCATCAATCACACAAGACCTGTGGATGAAGATGAAATAAAAGAATATGGTAAGAAACAATTCAATTTAATTAGAGTAATAGATTTACAAAAATAATCAAGAGCTATATTAATGATGTTTAATATTTATTTTGGTTTTTGCAGAGTTGGCAATCAAAGAATTTTCTATCGCATTTCAAAAAGTGTGCACTGAACGTGATGCAGCCAAAATTGCACATATTGGAACACCATGTTGTTGAATTCATGAAGCAGTGAACGTTGGTCTTCGAATGCTTTCCGAGCAGGGTGGTGAACTTATCCATGCAGAATTCAATCGCCAGAATAGAACAGTTTATGGCATCAAGAACCCACTTGACCAACTGATGTCCATTATGAAATCCCACATATTTACTTCGCCAGAAATTCAACACGAAATAACGATGAAGGCAAAGAGGAGGAAATCTAAAGTATTAGTTAATGACATTAGATCAGCAATATACAATTAATAATAACCAGAAATGAAAATTTTTCTTGTGATATTTTTTAAAATACTTATTTAAAGTCTTGTCTAGAAGTCATGTTTTCACATTTCCTCTCTTAGAATGTAAATATAGATTGTCTTGTGTTTTGAAGTAAATAAATTAGATTCAACCTTACATGATATCCTAAGTTAAATAGTGAGTATAATAATAATAATAATAATAATAATAATAACAATAACAGTAATAATAATTCAGGACAAAGCTGATCATACTGATCTGATTTAAGTTTGCTTTTTTTGTGGGTGGGGAATTATTGAGGGGTGGTGGTTGTTGTTACGGTTTCTATTTCATGTAATTTGTAATATTGTTGGCATGGCATGTATTTTTGTTAACTGTATTGGGTTAACATTTTGCTGTTCTGCTTTATAAATATAACATAGGCCTATTAATTACTATTTTATTTCAAACTAAGCCAGGCAAGCAGTAGCAAGCTATAATTATAAGTATAGGCCTAGTACAGCAGTAGGCCCTATTGTTGTATTGTAGTGTAGGCCTATGCCCAGGCTAGGCCTTATGTATAATTTAGGGAAGAATGTCTTGAATTGCATTGAACTCGTGTATCAGGGAGGTATAAAATTGCTAATGCTTGTAGTAGTCTTTTATCTAACATACATACTTGAGTTTACTACTGTGTATGCGTAGCACTGAGCCTACTGTAGGCCTATATTGTGTACACAGTGAAACGCATGCCTCTACTGTTAAGATACACGTTTAAATCGAAACATCGGCATCAATAAAAAAAAAATTCAACTGGGAATCCTCGTTGATCTTGACAGTAATTGTGTTATTGGTAACTAAGAATCACTTGGGTATCAAACTATGTTGGGAATATTTTAATTCATCCCCAAGATTACTTATCAACAGTACCTTTATTAATTAAAAAAAAAAGAAGCAAAATATTCATATTTTGGAAGGAAAATTGAAATTTCACTTTCTTCGGCTTCAGACCATGCTGCCAATATATTTCAGCAATAAACAAGTGCCTGGACATGTCTTCTAATGAGTATTCATGTTTTCCTTCAAAATAGTTTACTATTATGTTGTAATTGGCTGTTTTCCATGACGTTTTAAATGCAGATTGCCAACTAATCACCCCACATGGATTACTTCCGTGTGTTTGCGTGTTAACTTACTCCACTTCACAACTATATAGGAATAACGGTGTGCTACTTAATTTATATCTTGGAAACTACAGTGTATTAATAACTACTGTTTTGTTATCTGCTATCTGGCATTCTTGATTTTAACCTGTCATTTTGAGAGAATGCATCTCTCCATATCAGAATTAAGTACATAAAAAAAAAAAAAACATTTTCTAAAGAATGCAAACATATATATGAGTGGTGGAGCGGTTTTGCACAGCGGTTGCAGTTCTGATTTTTCAACCTTGAGGTCGGCGGTTCAATCCCTCGCTGTGTATTTTAATTGTGGCAAGGCACTTTACGTACGATCGTCCCTTCCCACCCAGAAACAGGGGCAGGGGCTTAAGCCCCCCACTGGACAGGTCAAGCCCCCCCGCCGGACAGAGCTCGTTGGGTAGTCAGACCATAAAGCCTGTCTCTTATACACATGTTAGGCACCTTGCTGGATCAGCTAATGTCCCATCCGATTTTGCCAGTCGAAATGCGCCCCCCTGTACTGAACCCAACTGTCAAGTTTGTTCTTTTGTCCACCGCATGGAAGAGTCAAGTGTACTTCGAACATCAGTGCGAGAGTTCATTAATGAAGAGGCTAAATTACCATTCACGAGTCGATCAGCGTGGGTAGCTATCCAAGCCGAATGCCCAGACCTTGTTCAAGTAAAACTTCATCTTCGGCAGGGAACCCGCCCGTCTAAGAAAAATACCCATACTACTGCTAGTGTGTCCGATTGTAGTCTTTGTACTGCGGTTGTTTCTTTTCCCCACTGGCGCAGTAGAAAAGAAAAATAGAATGTTATCAGTGTGACAGCTTTAAGTAGGCTATCAACCCTGTTTCAGGAAGTATTTAGTATTTAGTTTTTTGGCAACGATGATAGTGATCATAATAGTTATAATGGTTGGGGTGGTGATGATGGTAATTCGATGGTAGGGGGTGTGCATCTATGTGCATTTTTGTTAATGATGGTATGGTACTGCATGATACAGTAATACAAAGTTTGATAGTTTGAGTGGTTTCAGAAAAAAATTATGTCACAATACTATTGAAAGAGTAAACAAATTTGTGTTTAAAAAAGAAACATATAGTAACATTGTGGCACACAATAGTGGGAGCACTATGCTGTGTTGAAGCAAGGAATGTCAGCTATTCCGGCCCCCTACTGTAAATTTTCCAAAATTTATTAAAAAACGGAGAAAGAAGAAACTTATATTCAAATTTAAGTCTGATTGTGCCATTTCCAGTCATCTATTGTAGAGGTGCCATATCACAAACCACGATGGGACTGAGGTGGTCTACTGTACACCCTCCATCTTTAAAAGTTTCTCCCGGGCCCCTCTATTTTTGGATTCCTGGATTCGCCACTGGGTAGTGTTTGTGGGCATGTCCAATCATTGTTGTTAATTTCACTGTTGTCTTGCCTGATTTAATAGATTTTAATTACACTCATATTGTGTATTTTTTAATAATTTGACAAATTTCTCTTTTACTCAGCTTTTGCGGGCATGTCCTACTGAAGTAATATAATTGCACTTCAGTTTGGTTTTCTTGACTGATTTTTAATCAACATCATTTTTGACATGTCCTACTTGATCTCAATTCCAAGTTGTTCTCCTGAATTTAATTTGACTAATGCACCTTCTAATAAAAATTTGTATTAGCTGTTGAGTCAGCTTTGCTGTACTGTACGTTTATTAAAGATACAGTAAGCATCAATTTTGTTTTAGAAATTACCAGAAATTTTAGAGTATTCTCCTGAGTGTTATATGTGGTGTTAAAACACTATTATATAAAACTCCAACGTCTTCAACATCATGCTCGAGGACCAATGCTGGTCGTATCGCCACTAATAAAGGGCGCCCATACAGTACATTTAGCCTTACAACATCTATCCTTACAAAGAAATACATTCCATTTATACACTCTTGCTTTTTGTCTGATATCATGTTATATGTGGTACACTATAAAATTAAAAATACATTGTATCCAATGATCTAACTTCAGTAGGGAGGCTTTATTCAACATCATGCTCCAGGACCAATACTGGTCGTCTCACCACTCGCCTTGCATTTAGCCTTACAACACCAAGTAACTCAGACACCTTGTGTGATGCATTAGGGCAAATTAATTGCTAGTTTCACGTCGGGGATTTGAAATTTTTCGGTGAGGGTATTTACAATTTGCTTTTTACTTTATGTTATACTGTACTGGATACAGTACAATGGTAAACAGACTGGTAAATAGTAAAAATAATGTATTCCTGCCATTTATGTTCCCACCTTTGACATCATTCTTTCAGATAGTTTATTTTTATTGTCTATTGAAAATGAATGTTTTTTTGAAAAATAGCAAATAGTAAATTTTTTAATGGGGCACCAAAATTTGATGAGGGTAGGGACGTGAAACTATTAATTAATATTATTTTGCCTTTCGATACCAAATTGTGAGCTTTTAATTTCTCATTCCTTTTTTCATTCACTCATTCCTTTTTTTCATTCATTCATTCAAACAACACATGATTTTTCTAATTAGATTTGAATCAAACATTTCCTTTATCAACAAACTACAAGTCTGTTATGCCAGATTGTAGACAATTTTGTAGGGGAATTCTGGGGCTATACTGTATTTTAGTTTTTAGAGTATTGACCGTGCATCTGGAATGAGATTCTTCTATACACATGGTGTCACTTCTTCCTTGGCAGATTGCAGTTTTAGTTCTACCACATTTAGACTACCTTTTCATATCACTAGATCCTTTTTATATCAGTCACTTTATAGTACTGTAGTGCTGATTAGTCATTAATTTCTGGTGGAATTAGTAAGAAAATAGTGTTATGATTGTAAGCCAGTGTTCATCGATATGCATTCTTACACATGTTCACATGGGCATCAAACTTGCTTCACTTTACTTGCTTTTAATGTTTACATCAATGTATACCTTATGTTCATACAGTAATAGACTACACATGTTCATCTGACTATAGTCTCACATATAGAGGCCTATGGTCATTATAATTGTCCAACATATTTACATATTATGCCACAAATATATGATTTTTCACAGGTATGTTCATATTATGAGAGTTATACATGTTCATACTGACTATAGTCTCACATATATGGTCTATGGTCATATAATAGTCCCATATGTTCACATAATTATAGAACATAACATGATTTTTCACATGTATGTTCATATGAAGACACATACACACATGTTCGACTGTAGGTCTCACAGAGACCTATGGTCACATTAATACTAATCTATTCTCACATGTTCACTTAATTATTTCACACGATTTTTCATATGTTATGTTCATATGATAGTTACACATGACACTGATTATCTCATGCGTATTAATACTTCCCACACTATTACATATTTCCACATGGTATTTGCACACATCACACACAGTCATATATGACTTGCCCATATATGAACATGATGATCTGTCATATATGGGCCAATCACTTTTAATAGTATGTAGGTACCAAAAATATGAAACACTTAATTATGTATTGCCACTTTAAATCAAAAATGGAAAATTTAAGAAATAGATATATAATAAGTGGTAGATTAATAATAATAAAACTAATTTTTTATAAATATTTTTTTTAATTTTTTATTTGTTTTTATTTTTTTCATTAAAAAAATAATAATAAAAAATAACAATAAATAATTACATTTTAAATAATATTTGTTTTATATTGTAGCTGTGTGAGGTTTAGAATTTTTTCTATGTACTGTGCATCCGATCTATCATTCATATATGTAATTCACGATTAAATGCTTTGGGTACTAATTTGTGATACTTCCACATCTATTCATGATTAATAGCATATTTATCGAATGTATTACATTTCCATAATTTACTACATAGTGCTATAGTGTTAGTAATGTATTTATGCGATATATTTGTAATCTGCTGATGTTGTATGAGCCTAAAGTCTATTGAGTATTCAACATGGTACAGTGATTAGCATTTACAGTGCTTCTGTAATTTATAAAACAAATTTTTATTCTTTTTATGATATTGATTAGTAGTACTAAATGTCAAATGCATAGTGAACTATTCGCATTCCCGATTAGATTTAGCTTGCATGTACCTGTAAGATCCGTCTACAATTTATCTGAGCGTACCATCAAATATTGCTTTTTCTGTTCTCCCTCAATGTACGTTTTCTCAGTCTTGCATAATATTGAACTAATCTATGTGAATACAGTCCGTTTTACAAGTCCAGTAAATTTACCAAGGAATTTGGTTTATGTTTACTACAGTGTAATATGTATAGAGAGCAAAATGTATAAAATTGTAGATATTTACGTACTCATTAGCATTAGAGAGCCACTAGACAGTGATTTAGTTCAGTTTTTGGTAATCCTATCTGGCCAATTGAGTGCTTTTTTCCTCTCTCTCTTATTTTGTGTTTTTATTGTTCTTCGGACCAAATAAATAAAATGAAAATAATAGGTACATTAATGCAAAGAGTGTATAGATAGAGTCTGCAGATATTGGGATTCCTTCCAGTAGATGCTTAGTTTATTTTGTCATTCTGATCGGATTTTCTCTACTGTTCCGTTTTAATTTTAAA